TTTGTCATTTATCAATCGCGTTCATATTTAATGTTGTCACTTAAATTATTATTAATAAAAAAAATTTTTTTTTTTTGCTTACTTATGACATTAATACAGAATATTTTGAAGTTGTTTGTTTTTCTGATACAAATTAAATTCGTTTTTAATCAACATGAATATTATTTATTTATTTTTCAGTGAAATGAATTACACTATGAAAATAACGAATAGCAGATACTTTACTCTTTTCAATGATATCAACTATTCCAGAAGTTATTCTAGTTGCTTACTGATTTATTTCTTACTCCAATCAGAGAGAAATTTATTTGGTGATATACCTATGTCTAAAAAGTATCCGCTGTTTTTTCTGCCACCAGATAGTGTAAACTGGTGGTTCTAATCACGAATAGCAGATACTTTACTCTTTTCAATGATATCAACTATTCCAGAAGATATTCTAGTTGTTTACTACTTCTAGTCCAATCAGAGAGAGACTTATTTGGTGATATACTTATGTATAAAAAGTATTCGCTGTTTTTTCTGTCACTAGGTAGTGTAAACTGGTGGTTCTAATCACGAAAAGCAGATACTTTACTCTTTTCAATGATATCAGCTATTCCAGAAGATATTCTAGTTACTTACTGATTCTAGTCCAATCAGAGAGAGATTTATTTGGTGATATACCTATGTCTAAAATCTATCCGCTGTTTTTTCTGTCACTAGGTAGTGTAAACTGGTGGTTTTAATCATATGAAACGATGGATTGAAAGATGAATAAGTGGAATATTTTAAAGAAATAAACTATTTAACATTAAATTGTGGCTCGAAAAAGGGTAAGAGTGATCAATCGAAAAACTAATACACCTAATGAATTAAATTGTGACTTAAAAATAGAATAATGGAATCTATCTATTTTAAAATCAACATCCACAGTTGATAAAGATAATAACAACACACGCAGGAGACTTATGTTTGAAATATTTGCCATGTCTCAAATATATTGACTTCCTGAGTGGAATATTTCAATCTTGTTAGACCCGGACATTTGCAAAAAAAGTAATTAGTTGTGTCTTCTTCCTTTTCTTCGGTGCTTTCCTACATATCTAGTTGAAGATATATCTAATTTTTCGGCATGAGTAACTATAGTTTCATATCTGCTTAGTAAGATTTTCTTTCTCGATTAATTGTTGTTAATTTAGATTTTCGCAGTCATAGTACAAGATATCGCTCCAATTTTTTTAGTTGTTAGTCTGGTGCAACACAATCTTTTACTCAATGTGTTTATGTTAGTTGTGTTTTTAATAATACTAGTAAAGTTTATAATGACAAAGTTATTTAGAATTTCAAAATTTCATATATCGAATTGTTAGAAATGTTTAGAAGTACTACAGTATATAGCGATTCTTAGGTTTATGTTAATGGTACTGATAACTTACAACTTGGAAATTTAATTTGTTCTATTCCAAAATTTAATAGTTAATTTTGACAGTGTAAAATCAATTTATGGTTTGGAAACTGACGTACGGATCCTATTGTGTGTTAGTAAAAAAAAACATGTTTGACTTGAAAGCAAAATTGATTCTGTGGTACACAGATGGCTCGAAGAAAAGGTCGAAATAAGATCAATTCCTGGCATTAATATTATCTTTATCAACAGAGATTTACTTTATTAAGGTCTGCACTCTATGATTAGCCAACCTTACAGAAGGATTAAAATAGCAACTAGGGAATAAAAGAGCAGTGCTTAGCTGGTTGTCTGTTCATATATATAGCAATAACAATATATAATCTTCAGTACTGAATATTGTAACTTTCAGTTCAATTTTGTGGACTGGAGCCTGATTGTGTAACTTGGTTCACAGTTTAGTTTCTGATGGAATAATGGATTGCAATCCAAGGAATAGTTATTAGCGTAGCTCACCAGACAACTGTTAGGCTGAAAAGCGGTTTTGTTCATAAAACTGTGGTGTTTTTGTTATAGTAGAGTAGCATTAAGGCTGTTCGCAGAGTATTTGACGGATCATCATTACCAGTGATGCCATATTAAAAAGAAGAGTGTTGAGATAACAATAATAAATAAAGATTATTTATAATTGATTTGTTGCTTGCTTATCAAAAAAAAAAAACTTTTAATTATGTTTATAGCATATCAATAATTGAAGTATAATTATTTCAAAGAATCAATGAAGTTTTATATTTAAGATCACTTAAAACTGAGAAGAGAAATATCTTAGAATAGTAAGTATATTAATAATAATTTCAAAGGAAATATAGTGTAAGCATTTCTTTTATATTTTCATTTTCATTTAATTATTATTTATTATTTTTATATTTATAGGTACTCTTTATTAATGGTTTACGTTCATTCTGCTTATTATAAAAACACAAATTCATCATTTAAATAATATTTAAATGCCATTTTTCCTTTTAACTGAAATTGTATGACAATTATGATGACGTTTCAATTACTATTATTAACTCGATACTTCTGAATGTTTTCATTCTCCATGGATTATTAACTCAGCCAATGCAGCCAATGCAGTCAATGCAGTAAATGCAGCTAATGCAGTTCTTGTGGCATCGCCGCATTGCATTGAGTGCTCATTGATTATTGTCGTTTTGTGCTTGATTGCTTTCTAAGGCTGTAATTAAATTACTGTGTCAATGCATTTAAATTCTTAAGTGACCTTAAGTATTATAAATTCAACAAAATATCAAAATAAGCAGTCTCAGCTCAATTATGTATCTATGGAGCCTTAGGGGAACCGAATTACTTGGTACTTGAGTTAAATGCGCAAGTATTTGAACCCCTTTTGTGCTAACTGTCAACATTTTTTGATTTAATAAATTGAGGTCAAATGCATTTTGTTAAAATAAATACAAATGAACTAAAATTTTATTTTATTCACCGCTCTGCACTTGAAAAATCATGTTCTTTTCATGCAATTGACCCATTTTGGGTAAAAGTTCCCGTTGCATTTTTATGACAAAAATTGTTATTAGTTTCTTTTTTTTCGATTTTTTGTATACCTAGAGGTGCTTGACAATTTTGGAATATTCTATGCCGAAATTGAGTGATACTTTTACTAAATATTTTTAATATCAAAAAATTATAAATTCTTGTACATTTAAGCACAATGTATTGAGTTCCTAAAAACAGTGGTATTTTAGTTAAATAAAATGTTGGAAATTATTTTGTGCCTTTAGCCATTTAACAAAAATTTGAAATAGAGAAATTCGAAAGGGTACTGAAATTAAAATAGGTAGAATAAATAAATATTTAATTTTATACAAAACACTGTACTTGAAAAGAGTAATACTATGTACGGAAACTCTTATTATAAATTACAAAAGTATTTTTATTGCATTTTAGATGAACGCTGTTTCAAATACTAAAAAAGTGATATAAATATTACTCACTGTACTTTATGTAATATCCAAACCTTGTATAAAATCGGTCTCAAATAATCGATGATCTTCCCGATGATCCGTGTATAGTCTTCAAGACTTGTATAACCACTTTCAAATAAAATAGCACACATTGTTTATGAAGTGGAACAAATTTATGAATTTTGGTATATAGATATATATAGATATAGATCATCTTGGTACACGTTATCTTTAACACCTATTTTATAAAATATTTTAAACATAATGTTCATTTTTTATATGTTAATGAAGGTATTCTACTATTACATCAACTGCAAATAACTTGCGAATAAAATCTGAATTAACAGATAAATGTAGGACACGATGTTTGGTTTTACAGTATATATTATATATTATACTATAGTATATTAGTTAAATAATATATGGATACGTAACTTGTATGCAAGGACTAAGTTAAAGATCAATATAAAATATTGGTCTTACGAAAAATGATATATCAAAGTAGCGTTCAAGGCTTGGTTACACTGTGAAAGAATAAATAGCGCTTCACGAATTTATGGAGCAACTTAGTATTTATATTTATGCGGTACTATATCTCGACATATATATATATGTATTTTTTTCAGTTATTAAGTTGGAAAAATAAAGAAAAATAACGCTTAGAGCTATAATACCAATTAATTGAAATTCAATGAGACAGAAGTGATGGACTCGCTCCACTCGCTCATTTTAAAATGTTCTCATCCTCAAGTAATATTATGCACTATTTTTATTTATAGTTTTATATTTCAATATATATGCTAACTATAAAAATTATTGGAAGAAGAGTAGAATAAATAATGTTTGTAAAGATAAATCAATAATCAAAAAAAATCTTGGATAATCAAAGATAAATTTTAAATGGCTGAGTACTAAAATCTGAAAGAGGTTACGACTCTTGAAACTTTGTAGCGATATTTGAAAGAGCATCAGATTAGGACTAATTAGATTCAAAAACTCCATGGGTTTGATATTTTCATGAAAAATTTTAAAATTTCTAAAAAATTCAAAGAGGGAAAGAGAAAAAACACCTTACTTCAAGCAGAGAACTTCTGGATTGATCCGATTAGATTAACTGCCATTAAAAATTTGTTTTATAAACCATAGCTAGTTGTTAGAAAGTGAGTTAAATATATTTTACGAAGTTTAAGGCATTGATTTTATATTTTATTTAAAATATTTTATTGAAGGAAAAATGTCTGCCTAAACACTTTGAATCTTTCACTTAACGCTTTTGCTATAAGGAACCTGCAGAATTAGTTTCTGTGTTAAAATAAAAACCCATATTCATACATAAATATATAATATGTATTTCAAGTAGACAAATTCACATAAATTTAATTTACAAAAATAAATGCACATTATTTGAAGATACATCCAAATATAATTTGGTTATAATTAATTATAATTATTTCTGCTACAATCCTAATTCTTCTATAATAGGACACTAAAATTTGTCAGTAGTAGTAGAAAAATCGAAGTCGTAGTTTTATTTTTAATTTTTTTAATTTTAATTTAATTCTTCGTATACCATTTCAGCACCGAAGTCTATCACTGTTTATCAGATGTAAGGAACTTCTAGGAGAGATTAAAGTATAAACTTATCAGCATGAGGGTTGTCCAAGTTTCATTTTCTGAACGAATAGTTCTTTCTAATAAATCTTCTATTATCTTAGTACCAGGAATGATCTTGTTTCACTGCTTCAGCTCACAAAAGTCTATTTTCATATTTAAAAATATTATATTAGAATATAAGAAGCTTGAAAATAATAATAATTAATGTTTATCTCACCTTCAATATTTTTATATAAGGTCCATTAGTAATCATTGCAGGAAAGAAGCTTGTACAGATATTGTAGTTATAATAAATGTCACTTCAGAGCCCATTAGTTTATATATTCAGAAAATTTATTGCAAAATGTGATTGGCAAAAAACCCAATTTCGTTTTTCATTCACTTTCTTTATACCAGGAAGATACTTGTAAAAACGACTTCGGTACCACGAATTATTAGTATTTATATTCTAGAATATAAAATTATTGTAGTATCACTAGTTTAAAAATCAGTTAAATATTGTTCATGATTTTAAAAATACTTTTATGCTTTTAGCATAGGGGTCCATTAGTATTCATTTCATGGAAGACTGTTGTAAAAACGATATAATTGAAAAATCTCACTACCAGAGTCAATCAGTTTTTGTTTTTGGAAAAAAATTTGTGAACTCTTATTGTATCGAAATCATTTACTTTTTCCGAATAATTTTTTCATCATCTTAGTACCTGGGTCCAATAATATTCACAGTACTGAAGAAACTTGTAAAAACGATCTCAGCACCAGAGTCTGTATTTATATTCGAAAAGATTATTATAAAATGTAAGTAATCAGCTTTCTTTACCTAAATTCTTTCCGTATTACAATATATAAAGTATTCATTATAACAAAGGGGTTTGTAAAGACGATGTAATCGCTAGTAAGCTTGTAAAAATTACCTGATTGACATCAAAGTAATAATATTATTCTTCCTGTTGATTACTGGGGACAGCAAATTAAGTTTATTTATATTATTGCAGAGCTCCAGATCGGTTTTTTTAACTTTTTACGGGTGGTTCCATCAGTTTTCATATATTTTTCCGGTAGTTTCTTGTAGGACTTGCGTTTTTTTTTAGACATTTTGGAATTTTGGGTCCCATTTTGATTATAGTTGTGCACTGCTACATGCATCCCAGATTTATTATTAGAACTGTTTTGTTTGAGTTTACCACAGTTACCATTTCCTACTGAATTGTGTATTTGCCAAGTAGAGTTTAGACAGTTCTTATCATCTAAAAGTTGACACTGAATACCTTTATTCTTCATAACAGGGCTGTAAAGCTGCCTCATTTCTCTCATAATACTTTCATCATATTCTGTTATCGGCCATATGTTTTGCGTAACAGTTGAAGCGTTTTCAGAGGTACTTGTCGAAACTTTCTTATCTTCAGTGCTAAACAATTTATTAGCCTCCAGATATAAACTTAATTTTTTACAACCATTAGAAAGCGAAGATATAAGTTCTTTAGAAGTATTCATGGGAAGGCTGTTATCTGATTTACATGTACATATATTATTATTTTGAAAGCAGAACTCAAGATAATCAGAAGCATGATTGTTTTTGTTCCTTTGGTCTTTGCTGGCGAAGAATTCATTAATGAATGCATCATGGTTTTTCAATTCTTTACAAACACTAAAAAGTGATGATATAGACACCGACTTATCTTCATTTAGCAAGTTTTTTGGAGGGCCTTTTCTTTTTTCGAGATTCTTTTTCTTAGGTTTCTTAGGTAATTTAGGTTGAATTTCAACCTTACGAACATTTTTACGCAAACATTTTGGCTTGCGCTTCTTAACGACTTTACCTCTCACGCGACGTTTGGCTTTAAATGCGTTGTTTGAAATAGAACTAGTCTCTGGAATTGTGGATGATGGTTCAACCATTTCTTTCGTTGCTTCAACCCAAGCATGATTTTTAACATAGTTGTTATTGATTTTTGGTCGTGCAAATCTTCCACCTCCTACGGCTAATTTCGCTTTGGCATCCTGAATATGTTTTCCATGATTTCTTAAACTCATATATGAGCTTGACTTATTCATGGATCCATAACGAAATTTACCTGACTGTTCTATTTCACCCAACGCATCTAGAAGCTGAAAAGTCACGTTAAGACTGTAGTACAGTCCGTTGCAAGCTTCGATAAAGCCATGTCTGGTTCCTGCTTTACATGCATCAGTGACTTCAGAAATTAAAGTTTTGATCGACTTATGGGTTCGACTCTGCTCTTTCAAGTATTCTGCAATTTCACGTGGACTGGAAGGCTGCTGAAGTCCTTTTAAGGCACTAAGTATATCGTCTCCATTTATTCGCATTTTGTACGATAATTTTGATTAACAAACAATTTTGCCCAAGAAATTATTACTGATGATATCTGTAATATAAAATTTTTTAAAGTAATTTAACATATTTATATTATTACAGGAATAAAAAATGTATAGTTTCAGCTTAAAAAGTTGTTCACTGTTATGATACAACAGGTATTTAACAATAAACATCTCCTTTCAACACTATTGTGTACTAAATATCGTTTAATAACGGGAACTTATAACTAATTCTGAATTATGATTTTTATAATGACCATCAAATCACATCCATAACTACTATATAACTTCATTAATCTTTTCTTTGATTAACTTCTTCATAAATATTATTTATGATATACTAAAAAGATAGTGGGAATATTGAACAGTGAATGAATAATATATATAATATAATAACATAATACACAATATCAGAATGTCGAGAAATAATATTAAGAGTATCTCAGAGCAACCTTTCATATGAAATTATAATTAAATCTTATAAAACTCTATCTAAGGGCTACAAAAATTTCCCAATAATGATGATAACTGCCTTGGGTAGAAACAAATGTTTTATTAAAATTCAAATCGGACTCAATAATCCCTTTATTTCTGTTGTGTAGCTGAACTGAAGTTCTGCACCACATTATGAATATAAACAAATTTTAACAATTGATCTTTATTTTATTGATGGAACAAAATTTCTGAACCTCAACACAGTCTAGACTTTACATTTCGTTAATATATTAATAATTAATAATATGTTAATCATTACTTTACTTCACGCTTTCTTTAATAATAACAATCATCCTAATTTATTATTACTCATATCTCTTTAACACGTCAATATTAATTTGGTGTCCAGACCGCCAGTCCCTACATCATTTCCATCATGGGAATCATAGGCCTATGACAATCATGGAAATCTTGGGCTCATAACTATTTCTGTGACTACAAGCCCATGCCTTAAGTGTATTGCCGGCATTTTGTATAGTAAAGAAATTTGCATTCAAAATATTAGTCAATCATAGAAAACTCTCACGTTTACCTTGGTGTATCAACTTCATCATCAGAGGCGCCACCGAAAATACCCGGATACTCTAGTGACTAAGCAATGGAAATATTGTTAATATATATAAAATCTTCATCAAGCACAGAAAGCTCATACGTCCATCTTGATGTATCAACTTCATCACCAGAGGTATTTCATTCCTCCGCGCTCATCCAATCAAAATGGCTGCTGCTCAGCGTATCCGTACTCGCACGTTAGTGTATTTCCTATTTACGGTGTGTTATAGATAGTACGATAGAGTATATTCAATACATTCTACGATAGAATAACGTCATTCAGTTTACCATTCCACTACATTTCCATAGCAATATTTTTTTCTTAAAGTTGTGAAATATTTTTTGAGGGTCTATCTTTCTTTTCTTATACACTTAGGTTATATGTTATAGGTTATTTTAATCTTATTATATTTTATCTTAAGATACTTTGCTATTACAATTTCTGCGTATGCGACAACGCCTGACTCGTAGTTCCTTAACTCTTAACTTATTATTACTTATATTATATATCATAAATATTTGTTATAATATTTATTTGTCCAATCGCATAATTGTAGTATCTCTGCTTTGTTTCCAAGTCACGAGTAATAATTTTACTTTTTGCAATATTTATTTATAAAAAAATCAACCTTATCATAGATAATATAGAATGAAATGAATTGAATAAAGCAAAAATACATGAAACGTTGACATACAAACCGCAAAAGTAGAAAAAAATAATCATTCTTCTGGGTTAGAATTGGAATAGAGAAACTTGTAGACTAAGAATGCACAACTGAAGACAGATGATGTATCTTTGTGTGATGATTTCATTAAAAACATAGAATTGACATAGTTCACAGCGTATCTGTTGCACCGAAGTGTGTTGAATTAGTAATTTAATATGAAAATTGTAAAGGAGAAAATATAACTACAACTATCCCAAACAATAACAAATATTTGTTATATATATATATATATGTAGCAGATTATAATTTCAAAAATCGTTATACAATGCTTTGAATCTCAAAACCTGTCCTTAGATGTTTAAATCTTAGATTGGATATTATTATTTTTTAATTAATACTATAATTACACAGACCACGATAAGGGCTATTGTGCAAAAATCAGTTGTTTTAATTGATTAATAGGCTTTTAGTAGTCGTAAGTAAATTTGATGGTTTTGTATTGTTTCATATGGGGTTGGTGATACTCATTAGGTGATATAATAATGACGCAATGTATTAGTAAAGTAATTCGGGATAATCTTATAAGATTGTGTGTACTTAAAAGGTTGTACATCAAGCTTCTCCCACTTGTGATGGCCCATTATCGACCTCACTTAATGCAACATCATACACTATGTTAGTTTATAATATTGTACTTAATTAAATACGAAAAATTAATTATAATATGGTTGTTTAAAAAAATAATTATTTTTTTATTTAATGTATAATTTTACCGTTTCTGTTGCTGATTAAAAAAATGTTACAAGTATTTCGATACGGCAGATCACCAAATATGATTTTATTGGTTGTGATTGAAGAACTGTTAAATATATTGGTATGATGAAGTATAATTAAATAGTACATAAGGAAGCGAAATATCTGCTCAATGTGAAGTAGATTAAATTCACAATATTACAGTATCACAATTTAATTTACAATATTATTTTTTTTTTATCTGATTTAAAAGTTCGTTTTTTCAATAATTAAGAGACAAATTTTTCAGTACTTAGGCTAGTATAGTTGAAGATATTGGTTTAAAATTATTGAAATCTCTAATTACGGATTCTTATTGCTAATCGGATTCATGGCCTGGGTTATCAATTTGTAGGTCAAAGCCATTATCGAAGTCTACAAAGTAGTAGACTTAGAATACTTAAAAAAAATCTTTTAATATTTAAAAAAATTATGTCCTATTGAAAGTTTTTATTTCCCAGGAAAATTTAATACTGACTCTAAATAATTTATAATAAATAAAAATTGTCTCTATATACTGCGAAAAATTTTTTTTTTAAATTTAATGTTTAATAATAGTACTTAAATATTAACCATTTTTATTATTTAAACTATTTTTTAAAGGTTAAATCAATTATATCTAAAACGTAACAAATTTCAAGTTTTCAGCATTTATGGAGCCTGAGATATGGCCGTTTAAAACTGTGTCTACAATGCTAATTGTCAAAACCTCATGCATAGATCCATATCTCAAAAATTTCAAAATTTTTCTCGAGATACGAGTCTTCTGATTTTATGAAAGGAGCGCATAAAAAAATCGGAGATGATGAGGACATTTTTTTGACAAAATCCGTCTGATTTGTAAAAGAATAACCCATTGACAGTTATACTGTATACTGCATAATTGTATAGCTACAAAATTATATTTTGCATGAGGAATACACATATATTAAGTGATTGTTTTAAGTTCACTTTTTGTTGATACGGTATTCAATCGT